ATAAATAAATAAAATCTTAAAAAAAAAAAAAAAGCATCCAACTTTTGATTTTAGCTCAGGTCATGATCTCAGGGTTGTGAGATCGAACCCCGCATTAGACTCCGTGGTGGCAGAATATAGAGCCTGCTTAAGATTTGATGTCTCCCTCTGCAGCCCCATATTTATTTATTTATTTGTGTGTGTGTGTATGTAGTCATAGGAAAATTTTTCATAATCCCCATGTTTCTGATTTTGGCCTGATTTTATAATCAGAGAACTTTGTGTAATTTCAGTTATATTTGTAGTAACTGGTTTTATGGTCTCGTATATAGTCAGTTTTTGCAAACAGCTCGTGTATTTGAAAATGCATATTCTTCATTGTCCTATATTTGTCCATTATACCTATTATTTCAAATTTATTAATCTTATTGTTTAAACCTTTTTTTCTTTTTACTGAATTCTGTCTGCTTCTTCTAATACCCCACTATAATCATGGTTTTTTTTAATAACTTGTCATTTTGTCAGGTTTAGTTTCCTTTGAGGTCTTATTATGAACTAATTTTAAATTACATTTTTTGATGGATTGCATCTTTTATCAATATGAACTATAGTACTCTTTTTTTTTTTTGCCTTCAAGTCTACTTTTGTATATTAGTATAGTTATGCTAGGTTTCTTCTGAGATATGAGTTTTTCACCTTTTACTCTCAACATTTTTTTCTTACGTTTTAAATGTTTGAAACTTATGTTTTGGATGTCTTTTATAAGTAGCATGTAGTTAGATTTTGTTTTAAATTTTTAAAATCTGTTTATTTTTGTCTCACTAGAGTTTTTTAAAATCCATTTAATTTAGTATAACTAAATTTAATGTAATTTAATGTACTTAACATTTTTAATTTTAATTGTCCCATCCCTTCTGTCTCTTTTGTCTCCTTTATTGTCTTGTATTTTTTTTTCTCCTTCCATTTTTTCCTCATTTTACTTTTTCCTTTCTACTAGTTTGGAAGTTAAACATTCTGTTTGTATTCTTTTTGTGATTGTATTACAAATCACAGTATGCTTCTTTGAATTAAAGTCCACTCTAATTTACCTTTACCTTCACATTGGTTAATAGAAGCTCTCAGAACAGGTTGCCGATTTATTTACCTTTCTCCCTACTTAAATGCTATTTTCAGGCATTTTTAATTGTATATATCATTAAACCTCAAAAAACATTGTTACTACTTTTATGGCTATAGAAATTTAATTATCATTTAGATTTGTCCATGTGTTCACCACTGTATTTGCTCTTTTCCCAAATTTGTAACCTTTCATTAGAAATATTTTTCTTCTTTTTGAAATATATCCTTTAGAATTTTCTGTGCTATGGTGATGAGCTCTGTGTTTCCTTGAAAAATGTGTGACCTTCATTCTTAAGGTTTTTGTTTTTGTTTTTTTGAAATAGCATCTAAGTTTCCTGTTTTCTTCCAGCATGCGAAGGGCATTGTCTCTACTGTGTTCTCATTTCCATTGCTGATTTTTTTCCCCCTCTTCTTTATGATGTTCTCCCTAGAATTGGTCTTCTGTGGTTTCACTCTGTTCCATCTAGTTTTGAATATTTATCCCGCTTGGTATTTTTTGGACTTCTTAAATCAGTGGTTCAGCATCTTTCTTCAGTTCTATGAAATGCTCAATTATTATATGCCCAAATATGTCCTCTTCTCCATTCTGTCTCTCCTCTTTTTGCATTCCAATTCAACATACATTAGTCCTCTTTATCTCATCCTCTGTGTCTCTGCTCTTGTTTTGTATAGCCCCTCTTTTTGTTGACCTGTGCTTCATGCTGGGTTGTTTCTTTTGATCTGTCTTCCAGTTTATTAGTTCTCTCCTTAGCTGTATCTAATATTACATTAAACCAATCCATTGGGTTCTTAATTCGGTTATTGTATAATTTGGCTAAGTGAATTTATGTAGGTGAACTCACTTACATGTGCATGCATCCATGAGAGGTAGTGAACATAGAAAAGTGCTCGATCTCTCTATAGAGCCACACTTTCTGCATTTGAATCTTGGTCCCACTATTTACTGCAAAATACCTGTATAAAATACTTCTTGGTGTTTTGGTTTTCTTGTCTATAAGATGGTTTAAGTAACAATATTTATCTCTTTGGATGGGTGCGAGGAATACATAAGCTCATATGCATAAAGTTTTCAGTACAGTGAAGAGCACAGAGTAAGCGTCATACAAGAGTCAGCTGCCATCATTTTCATCATCCGGGACAGCAGAGGGATTAAGGGTAGTAGTTGAGATCATGACACCAGTGGTTAAGTACTTCCTTTGTCTTTTTCTCTCAACATCCCTCCCACTGCTTTCTTCTTATTATTTAATATATTTACTTCACCAAATATTAGAATGTAGTATAATAGACAAATATAGAAGAATATAAGATTTGGTGTCTGGTTAACCTGGACTAAAATCCTGGCTTACTTTCTAGCTTTTCATTTCCTTACCTGTAAACTAGAAATAACCGTAGTTAGTACCATCTCATAAAATCATTGTGAGCATTAAATATGAAAAAATGATTGGCATAGTGTCTGGCACATTTCAAATTTTGTTATGTTTTGTCATCATTGTCATTGTTATTGTCATCCTGTATTCTTGTCTGTAAAACTGAGATGATACAACTCCCTTGGTAATATTGTTGGAGGACTGAATGAAATAACGTATGGAAAGAGCTTAGCATGATGACTGGAGCAGAATAAATACGGAATAAATGGTATTGTAGACAAGTTTTTATTCTTAGTTTTTCGTTTATGTTTCACATACTGTATACAGTTGCAACAGTATATAAGTATATGAAGACTGAAAATAGCACCTTCACCTTATCTGCTCTAACAGTGGCCCTTGAGAGGAAACTGTGGTTCTCTAAACCTGATCAACATTTTTTATTACTTTCTATTCTTATATCACTTTTACTGAGTGCTTTTTTCCTTTTACCATATTACATCAGACATGATGAAAATAGATACATTAGTTTTAATAGTAGGATCTTTTAGCTTTGTCCCTTGATGTTTATTTGTTGTCTGCTGGAAGCACTACCATAAATTAAAACAATCTTTCAATCCTGGGAAAAGTTTATTAAAATTCAGGACCTTAAGTTTAAAGTTCTCTGTGACTTATTCAGGGATTGTCTAAATCAAATGGTGGGGCTTTTTTTAAAGATTTTATTTATCAGAGAGAGAGAGAGGGAGAGAAAGAGAGAGCCTGTTCTCACAAGTGGGTGGGGGAGGGGCAGAGGGAGAAGGAGAAGCAGGCTCCCCACTGAGCAGGGAGCCTGAGGCAGTTGTTGATCCCAGGACCGTGAGATCATGACCCAAACCAAAGGCAGACGCTTAACCGACTGAGCCACCCAGATGCCTCTTCAAATGGTTCTTTATAAATATTTGCTTTTTAAAGCAATTTTTGTTTTATTGTATTTAGAAGAAAACACCTAACAACCCCCCAAAAGAAATGGCCATTGATCAGTCTGTCTCATTCTACTATTCTTTATTTTCAGAGTGGCAGGCAACACACTACCTTTTCAGCAGAATCCAGTCGGAGCCTTTTGATTTGTCTACTTTGGGTTCTCAAGAATGCAGATGAGACGGTTCTACAAAAGTGGTTTACAGATCTCTCAGTCCTACAGCTAAACCGGCTACTAGATTTGCTTTATCTCTGTGTATCTTGCTTTGAATACAAAGTAAGTGATCGCTATGCCATTGCAGAGAAGAATGAGAAAGCAAACGTCATGTGGAAAAGGAAGAACAAAAGTTCCTCAGTGTCTCTTCTTTTCTAATGTTCAAATTTTAGGGAAAGAAAGTGTTTGAAAGAATGAATAGTTTGACCTTTAAGAAATCAAAAGACATGAGAGCAAAGCTTGAAGAAGCTATTCTTGGGAGCATAGGTGCTAGGCAAGAAATGGTGCGCCGAAGCCGAGGACAGCTTGGTACGTACACAATATCTTCTCCTTCTGGTGAGAATTTTTTCAGTTTCCTTGAACTATATATTATAGTGATCATTGTTGCAATTCTTCAAAGATTCTACACTCTTTTAAGTGTTTTTCATTTTTTGTTTGTTTGTTTTAGAAAGGAAGGGGGGTGAGGAGCAGAGGGAGGACAGAATCTTAAGCAGGCTCCACGCATGGAGCCTGACGCAGGGCTTGATCTCACAACCGTGAGATCGTCACCTGAGCTGAAATCAGGAGTCAGATGCTTAACTGACTGAGCCACCCAGGCGCCGCTTAAAAAGTGTTTTGAATGAAACAGTGAATTTACTTGAGTAACCACTTCTCTGTAGGAATTCAAATTAGAATTCTAAACAGGGTGAACATATTTCCTGATTTGTTCTGGAGAGTCCCGGTTTATTACTGTTGCCCTTGTGTGATTATTAATAGCATTCCCCCCCCCTTAAGACTTTTTAAAAGCAGTTTTAGGTTCACAGCAAAACTGAGCTAACAGTACAGAGATTTCCCATCTACTCCCTAACACACATGCATTGCCTTCCCCGCTGTCGACATCCCCCGCCAGAGTGATGACTTGTTAGACTGATGACTTGTTAGACTTGGTATTGAACCAGCACTGACACATCATTATCACCCAAAGTCCGTACTTGACATTATGGTTCAGTCTTAGTGTCCTACTTCCTACATGGCGTCACTTTTTACTCTTAAAAATTTCCTATTTGGCACAATAAATTAAAATACCCAGCATTTAAGGGAAATATATTGTCCGTCAGACTCAAATGTCAGGGAGAGAAACAGGTTAATAGCATTTGAGGCCTGTTTCTAATCCCAAGTACTGCTATCCATTAGCCATATAACCTTGGCCAAGCCACTTAATCTCACTTTCCTTTTCCTCATCCACTTGTGATTGTTTTGAGAACTTAGAAGGTAGTTTAGCTGATCTTATCATATTTGTAGTGACTGTGTGTGTAAACATTTCCTAAATTCTAAAGTGACAAATAATAGTGTTGCTGAGAGTTCCTTAAGGTCAGGGACATGGTTTAGACATCTGTGTATATGACACATGCTAATAGTTCAATATATTATGCACATTTACGTGAATATTTTTAATGTTTTCTGATAGGCCATAAACACATAAACACGTAGACATCATTTATCTATGTAAACTTAAATATCTTTTATATGCTATCCAGTATATTTGGAATTTCATAAGAATACAAAACCTTTGCCTTTGGAATTAAGAGAACCATTTTTTTTTCACTTTCAGTTTATATACAGTCTACAGTGTACTTAACAGATTTTCTTTTAACTCCTTTATTACATACAACAACCCTCTAAAATATGAAAATGAACTTTTATTTAGGTCATTTAATTATCACCCAAATCAATGAATGATCATCCCTACCTTTAAGTTAAAGAAAATGAAACTCGGGACGCCTGGGTGGCTCAGTCGGTTGAGTGGCTGCCTTCGGCTCAGGTCATGATCCCAGGGACCTGGGATTGAGTCCCACATTGGGCTCCTTGCTCGGCGGGGAGCCTGCTTCTCCCTCTGCCTGCCTCTCGCCCTGCTTGTGTTCTGTCTCTCTCTCTGACAAATAAATAAATAAAATCTTTAAAAAAAAAAAGAAAAAATGAAACTCACCAGAGGTAAATAACTTGCCTAAGATCATAAACTATGTGACAGAACCAGGCTCTTTTGACTTCCAGGGTAGTTCTCTGTATTATACCACAGCTCTTTCTAAGGTTTAATGTCAGAGAGAGTGGAACTGTTAAGTGTATGTTACGTTTTAAGCCTGTGGCCTTAGGACAGCTATCTTTGAATATAAGAATTGAAGTTCTCTATGTGGAATCTAAAATAAGTAAATGAATAAATTCATAGATACAGAGAATGGATAGGCGGTTGCCCTGGGTGTGGGGTGAGGGATGGGCAGAGTGGATGGAGGAGGTCAAGCAGTATAGACTTCCGGTTATAAAACACATAAGTACTAGGGATGTAATGTACAGCATGGTGCCTACAGTTAATACTGCATGGTATGTTTGAAAGTTACTAAGAGAGTATGTCTTAAGGTCTCATCATAAGAAATTATGTGTGGTGATGGATGTTAACTAGATTTATAGTAGTGATCATTTCATAATGTATACATATATTGAATCATATTATGCACCTGAAACTAAAATAATGTTATATGTCAATTAATCTTATTTTTTTTTAAGATTTTATTTATTTATTTATTTGACAGAGAGAGACACAGAGAGGGAACACAAGCAGGGGGAGAGGGAGAGGGAGAAGCAGGCTTCCCGCGGAGCAGGGAGCCCGACGTGGGGCTTGATCCCAGGACCCTGGGATCATGACCTGAGCCGAAGGCAGACACTTAATGACTGAGCCACCCAGGCGCCCCAATCTGATTTTTTTTTAAATTAAAGTTCTTAGAAAAATTAAGCCTTTGCGATTCTTATTTATGTTTGGACATACAAGTTACATCACCTAATGATAGACATTCTTAGCTAAGAGATGAGAGACAGTTTCATGGGGGTAAAAAAGTTAATGATGAAAATGTAAATAGATCCCAGATATCAGTTTTGTTAACTGTGTAAAGATAGGCATATGTTTTTTTGTTTTATTTTACAAAATATTTTGAAGATAGAGATTTCACAATAAAAAAAAAGGGAGATAAGGGAAGGGAGAGAAAGTAGAAGAAATATCCCAGACATGTCCTTTATTGTGTGACAGATTTGTCTCATTATTTTTAAAATTTCTATTTGAACTCTGAATTTTTACTTTTTTTTTTTTTTTTCCATCCTCCTAACCAATTTTAAGTCTTGGGTTTTTCAAAAAGGAGCGTTAGTTTTCTAGCTGAAATTCTGAAATCATGGCTGATTCCATCATTTAGGTGTGTATCTCTCCACAATTCTAAATGCCTTCTTCATTTCTGCTGAATTTGTATGAACCAGTTCTGTTGCTGCTACCCCTTACAGGAGCCCCCAGCATTCAGTCTGCTTTCCATCCCAGAAACTTTGGGAGAAAGCCCCCATCTTTCTCCTATCCTGCCTTCTGTGGATCAAAGGAAGTAATTACTTTAGGAATCCTTCTATTTTGCTTATATATTAAACAAAAACTTGTTGAGCTCTCAGTATTGCCAGACACATTGTCAACCCCGAACATAAAAGGGTGAACAAAATAGGCATAATCTCCATTCTTACTTAAGTAGCTTAAATTCTCGTGATCATAAGTGCTAATGGAGAGAAAGAAATACAGCCAATTAAGAGGAAAGAAAGTGTTGGAGAGGGTCACGTGGGTGGCTCAGTCAGTTCAGCGTCTGCCTTCGGCTCAGGTCATGATCTTGGGGTCCTGGGATTGGGGCCCGCCCCACCTTGTCCGGCTCCCTTCTCAGTGGGGATCCTGCTTCTCCCTCTCTCTTTCTGCCCCTCCTCCCTGCTCGTGCTCTTTCTCTCTCTCTTAAATGAATAAAATCTTTTAAAAAAGAAAAAAATGTGTTGGAGAGTTGGGGAAGACCTTTCTGTGGAGATTATGAATGACTGGCCAGTGAAAATTTGTGGGAAGAACAATCGCATAAGAGGAACAATAACTATTGTGGAGGTCCTCAATCAGGAGCATGTAGAGGGAGACTGTATATACAGAGAACACACAGAATGACTGTGGTGGTGTAAGCAGGAAGGAGAGTGGTTGGAAGTAAGATCTTACCATGTGGGGCCTTATAAGTCATGGTTTAGGTTTTGAGAAAATCTGTGTTAAGAAAGTTTGCTTATATAAAAGGGAGCTTGTTTTTTAATATTACATGTAACAAATGTATTTCTTCTATAACTTTTTTTTAAATTTTAATAAGTACTATTGTTAGTTTTTTCCACTTGTGCTGAAGATAAAATGACTATGTATAAAGTGAGCATTGTGCAGTATTTCTTATAAGTTGCAAATATACTTATAGGTGGTCCAAATATATAACATTTTAAAAATGGTTTTGAAATTTATTTGACAGAGAGAAGCCCATCTGGAAGTGCCTTTGGAAGTCAAGAAAATCTGAGGTGGAGAAAGGATATGACTCACTGGCGTCAAAACACTGAGAAGCTTGACAAGTAATATGACCTTCTGTTTTATGTTACTGATGGGCTTGTTGGATTTCAAATGCAGGATGAAAATCACTAATTTTAGTGTTGTTTTTTATATATTAGGTATTCACATCTTAGACAACAAAATACTTATATTTAGTTTTTAAAGTTTAGATTAAAAAAGATTTGGGGGAAGACTTTTTCATGTGGTATAGTAAAGCAAAATGTTACCCATTTTGTTTCCAAATGTGTCTAAATATCCGCCTTCGAATTATTCTGTAATAATTTTTTCATGTATTTTGGGAGTCACAGTGAACTAAATATTTCCAGGTCACCAACAGTTAGAAAGCTAATCTTTGCCCTCTTGGAGCTTAAAATATAATTAAAGAAAGACAAAATACTTCAGGTCTTCTGGTTTTAGCATGAGGTAAATAGGTACACTGACTGACCCTACTGCCAAAAACAACCAAAAATGTACTTCACTGATTCTGGGATCTTAAAGGGCTGTACCATCGGTGTAGGGGAAACTAGAAGTAAACCCTTCTCACTGCCTAGGTGACCTTGGGTAAAATTCGTTGGCTTGAAATGTGGCATTGAGTCAAGGGTCTAAAATTTTTCTCTTGAGAATTTGTAATTACAAGTTAGCCCTCAAGTAGGTTGACTGGCCCAATAAATTCTGAGAATATGGTGACCAACTCATTCATGTTTGCCACGTATACCCATGTTCATATCCCAGGGAATCCCACAGTCCTATCCTAAAGCAAACCAGGATGCTTGGTCACCCTACTTAGGAACCATCTTGAGACCAGGCTTTGGAGGATTTTCACAGATAAACTTGCGGAAATACTAGCTCACAGACAGTAGCATCATAAACCCTAGGAAGGACTGTCTTGTGCAAGCCAGCAAAGAGCAAGTCGCAGACTCAGTTCCATATAGATGAGTGTTTGGATTACAAGAAAGTGTCTTAGTCTCTGCAGGCTGCTGTAACAAAATAGGACACACTGCGTTGCTTATAAACAACAGAAATTTATTTCTGACATTTCTGGTGGCTGGGAAGTTCAAGAGTATTTCTGATACAAAATATTGAGAATTTAGATGATAATTTAGAAAAAAATAAGTACTTTCATCTTAAATAAATTGAAAATCCTTGAATTGGTAAGATGAGCACTAAACATTTTGAATGTTGCTTTACATGAAGCAGCCCTAAATCCAAGCCCACATAGCACCACCTAGTGTCCGTGCCGTTCAGAATAAAACAGTGTCCTGTGTTTGCTACATCTCTGAAAGCTAAACATTTATGCTTTCATTGGTATTGTGGGACTGTAATGGGGTGAGAAAATATGTACTGACATGGTTGACAAAATGCAGGGTCAAAGAAAACACTTCTTATTGTGTAAAATATTGTCTTTCTATTCTCTTACAATTTTTCTTTCAGGCAAATATTAAAAAATGGTTCCAAGTTTTTTTCTATGAATCTTAAGACTTAAGTCTTTTTTGCATAGTGGGTCTATGTAAATGTACTTTCTTATAATATTTTATATTAGATCAAGAGCAGAGATTGAGCATGAAGCACTGATTGATGGAAATCTGGCTACTGAAGCAAACCTAATCATTTTGGATACATTAGAGATTGTTGTCCAGGTAAGACACAAACGAGGAATTTCAAGTAAAGACTTGGTAAATTGGGATTGTGCAAAAAGTATTTATTGAGCCATACAATTACACTGAAATATCGGTAGTTCATAAACATTTTTCTTTCTTTTTTTCTCACTTAAATCCTATTCATTCTTTTTTTTTTTTTTAAAGATTTTATTTATTTATTTTTTTGACAGAGAGAGACACAGCGAGAGAGGGAACACAAGCAGGGGGAGTGGGAGAAGGAGAACAGGCTTCCCGCGGAGCGGGGAGCCAGATGCAGGGCTTGATCCCAGGACCCTGGGATCATGACCTGAGCATAAGGCAGACGATTAATGACTAAGCCACCCAGGCGCCCCCTGTTCATTCTTTTTCCCCCTGTTCTTCCCTTATTCAAATCCTGCTCAGCTTCTTTTCCCTGACGTCCTCCTAGATCTTATGTTGTCCTTTTCTATTTTTAAAAACTGTTCTCTTATATTCTGTCTCCCTAACAAAATTGCAGGTACATCTCCATTTTTTTAATCTGTTTTTAAATTGCAGACAGTTTCTGTAACAGAATCCAAAGAGAGCATCCTTGGTGGGGTACTGAAAGTCCTACTGCATAGCATGGCCTGTAACCAAAGTGCAGTTTATCTGCAACACTGTTTTGCTACACAGAGAGCCCTGGTTTCAAAGGTAGGTAATTTTTGAACGTGCAGTCTTACCAGACTTTGCTTTCTCTCTTTATGTTGTGTAAGATCATCTAACACAGTCGTTGGTTAATATATTTATAGTTAACATTTTAATAATAGCCTGAGACCCACGATTCTTCTTTTCCTCTTTTCTACTGCTTGCCTTTTTTTTTTTTTTAAGATTTTATTTATTTGAGAGAGAGATAATGAGTGAGAGAGAGCGCGCACATGAGAGAGGGGAGGGTCAGAGGGAGAAGCAGACTCCCTGCTCAGCAGGGAGCCTGATGCGGGACTCGATTCCAGGACTTCAGGATCATGACCTGAGCTAAAGGCAGTCGCTTAACCAACTGAGCCACCCAGGCGTCCCGCTACTGCTTGCCTTTTGTAATTTCTTTCTTATTTGGATCACCCTTAACCAGTTTTGGGCTTAAAAAAACAGTAGTTTTGTTGTGGAGAAGGGCCCCAAATTAATAACTAATTTAAAATATGGGGCTTTCCTTGTTTTCTCTTTATCTCATTCTGTCTGTTCCTTATTAATTTGATTTGTTATTTACACCTTAAATAAGTTCATTCCATTGGCGTTAACTTACCCCATGATGAATGGAAAAGAAGGTACTTTTGTTTGTTCACCTACCGCAAATATTTATTTCTGGTGTTTGTCTTTCCCCGGGAAGTAGGGATATTCTTAAATCTTGAAGGTATCTATTTTATCATAGTCATCTAATGATACGGAATGCGCAGAGCTGTCAGTGGAGGTTTAACCAATGGGTTATAATAAAATCGTTGCAGAATTATTACATGTTGGTTACCGTATTGTTTTGTGCATAGTATCTCGTCTCAGATGCAGTCCTACAATCCCCTGTAGATATTGCTAGGCCCATTTTATGGCTGAGAAAACTGGTCCAGCGTCGCGCTGCTGGCTAATAAGTGACATAGTCAGTACTCAGACCCAATCCGCCTGGCTCTGTGGTCCACATTATCAAGCATTAGCAAATAGCGCGTCACCGTTTTTAAAAACTGGGCTATACCTGCAACTCTCTAGTTCGGGCGCTATTGACCTTCCCCTGGAACTCTGGCTGCGCAAGTTCGGTGTTGGTGGTGATCTGTTGTTACCGTTGTTTTGCGTCGTTTTGGACAGTTCCCCGAACTCTTGTTTGAGGAAGAGACGGAGCAGTGTGCGGACCTGTGCCTGCGCCTTCTGCGGCACTGCAGTAGCAGTGTCGGCCCGATTCGGTCCCATGCCGGCGCCTCGCTGTACCTCCTCATGAGACAGAACTTCGAGATCGGGAACGTAAGTGTTCATCCCTCCGCTCGCAAGGGGCCCGAACTTCTGCAGATGCCTGCTTAGCGTGTGTGGGTGCGGAGCACGGCGTTTTGTGTATTTCGAGCCTGCGCTGTCTTGATACTTCTTATCATGTGGCTCTCTTACAGAAATCCACATCTCCAGTGTGGCTTCCTGTACTACAAATAACCTATAGTAGTACAACTCGGAATATAAATGTATCGCGAGCTTTTGGAAAATCTAATTATTATCATTAGGTAAAATGAAAACACTAATAAAGGAAATGAAAGGTTTTAATGTCTTGGTTTGGTATTTTATGATTATGGGCCAGCCTGAAGAACTCCATGTTTTCATTTAAGTGTTTTGTTTGATAATCTCTTCACGTGTAGTGTTTTTTTTCTAACTTTGAGTCAAACGTATAGTTCATTTATTTTTACTTATGTAAGTATTTAAGGCCTAGCTCCTCCTTCGAGCATTGTTTTTGGTATCTCATTGGTTCTGATATATAGTGTTTTCAGTATTCTTGTTTTGTAGATATTTTTTGTAGTTTCAGTTTGAATTTTTTTTTTTTTAAGATTTTATTTATTTATTTGACAGAGAGAGACACAGTGAGAGAGGGAACACAAGCAGGGGGAGTAGAAGAGGGAGAAGCAGGTTTCCCACAGAGCAGGGAGCCCGATGCGGGGCTCGATCCCAGGACCCTGAGATCACTACCTGAGCGGAAGGCAGACGCTTAACGACTGAGCTACCCAGGCGCCCCCAGTTTGAATTTTTAATCCCAGGAGTTGACAGTCCTTTTTGTTTTAAAGTTTGGATGTTAATTTCTGGTTTTATTTCAATGTGATTATACAATGTTAAATACTGTGTCTCCTTTTTTGTACTGTGGATGTGTAATGTTACACAAGCACTTAAAAAGAGTTTACTTTATTTCAGAGTACTGAGTTAAATATACCTTATTAATTACATTATTTTTCTATATCCTTGTTATTTTGGTCCACTTGGTGGACTGAAGGAGGTGATTTAAAGCCTATGCATTATTTATTTCTCCTCTACCTCTTATTTGGTAAATTGGTATTCATAACTGTTGTATCTTTTGTTACTTTTTTGTTGTTGTTTTGTTTTATTCATCTCTTATTTGGCTAAATACTCTCCTGTAGTTGTTTATGCAAGACAGTTCGTGGGAATAATATTTCCCAAGTTCTTGATTGTTCAGTGTTTTCTGTACTTAAAGGACAGCAAAGATAGTTATGAAGTTTTTTGCCTCAGACTTTGAATGGAAAAAAAGGGGGGGTGGTGGTGAGAAAGACCAGTAAAACATACCAGATAAAGAATACTTAATAGAAAAAAGAAAAAGAGATACTTGAATACCATTTTCTTCTGGCTTTAAATATTGTTATAGAGATATCTGAAGAGAGTCTGCTATTTTCTTCCCTTTTAAATAACTTTTCCCCTCCCAGTTGCTCAAGGGATTCTCTTTAAACTTAAAATTAAATATCTTTTCTAGAATGTATCTTGGTATTGACCAATTTTTGTTAATTTTCTCAGGCACATCATACCTACTTTCAGTTTATTTCAGAAAGTTTTCTTGAATATAAAATTGAATATTTTCTTCCAGGGTTTGGGGTTTTTCTGCTAGGTACCAATTATGCATATGTTGGATCTGTTTTGCTTTACTTTTTTTGTTTTGTTTTGCTTTACTTTTTGCCTATCATTATTTTCTCTTTTCCTTTTTTAACATTTAAAATTTCCATTTATTGTGGTTCTTTTTCTCAGAATTTCTCTGTCCTATATACCTTATGTGCTCTCCATGACATCCTTTCTTTCTTTTTCCAATTTTATCTTTTTTTCTATTTCTTTTTAAATAGTGTCAGCTCACATGTAAGCTCCTATTTTGTGTCCTCTCTTTCTGATTTGTGCTCTTTCCTTGAGTTTATTTCTGCCTTGTTTTCCTTTCTAAAGTTTATACATTTTAATAATTTAAGGCAAAATATTTCATTAGAATTTTCATCTGTTTCATAACATTTTTCTATTAAGTGTTTTTCATCTGGTGAGTTTCACTAATCTTCCCTTTTTTATTACTCAACGTAGAAGGAGTTGGATTGTCTTGGCCCAGGTATTTGTAGGAAGTTCCTTCAGGAATGTGTTTCTCATGGGATTTTGCTATTGTAAACACACCTTGCCTAACTTCCTGAAGTTTCTGGTCAAACCATTTCTAGCCAGTCTTCCCAGATTTTTAGCTCATTTTGTTTTCGAGACAAAAAGCTTTATGACTTCAAAGTGAGTCTCCTATCTGAAAGAAGTATTTTTCCCCATTATTTCTGAAATCTGTGCCCTAGCATCCCTCACTCTTTGCTTTCTTCTCCTTGCCTTCTTTTGAAACTGTATCCTATCTTAGCCTATCTTGGCAACCATTCTGCATTTTTCTAATACATGGATTACATCAGACTCCTCCTTTGATGAAAATAAAGTTTGTGGATTTTTTCCTATTCGTCTTTCATTTTTGTATAAAGTCCAGGAGAAGTAGGAAATTGCTATTTCACACTGTCCCTTTTTAACCGGAAGCCAAGTCCTCATTTCTTAATCAAGAACAGAAGGATCCAGGTACTTTATTGATGCTGTTTAGCTTTTGAAATAAAGTCCCTAAAGTTTGACCACACTTGGAATCTTGTTGGTACATCTTCTGTTGTTTTAGGAAAGCTTTATATAGTAGGATAAAAATAGGTAATTTATCCTCATAGTGTCAGGTAGTACCTCTAATAAGGAATGGGTAATTTAAAACTGGCAGTGATTTATAGTTTATGTATTTGACAGATATTAGAACCAAGTATTGAACTGTGTTCTAGGTACTGTAGTAGGCATTGGGCACACATAGATAAAAGAACAGTTCTTTTTTTTTCTTTTTTTAAAGTAGCTTAACATTTAGTGGGAGAAGAAATGAACAGTGCTCATCTATGAACAGCCAATGTTCATCCTAATAATAGCAAGAAGTACTCTTTCTGTGGTGAGGATATATAAATTCATATTAGGTAAAACACTTAAAACAGTAACTGGCACTGAGCAAATGCTGATAAGTGTTTGCTGTTATTAATATAACGAGAGGTAAGCACAGGGCACTGTGTAAGCACAGAGAAAAATGATTTATGCTCCCAGAGATGCGTTTTCAGAAAGAGGAGATGCTTGAACCAAGGATGAAGAATTGCCTGATCAGAATGATAAATAGGTGGGTAGCACTTTGTAGGTGAATAAAATGGCACATGCATAATTAAAAAGGCATGGAGTCAAGAGAAGGGAACAGGCAAACAGAGAAAGATACTCTTTTAGCACTTCGTGATGGTTCTGGCTGGAAGAGAGAATAGGAAGAGATAAAGTTGTAACTGAAAAGGCCTAGACTGAGCTATCTGTAGGGCAGATACTTGTTTTAGTACTGGTCTTTCAATTCCCACTGTATAGTTTGAGATCTTTACTGAGTCATATACTTGACTTTTATCCTCAAGGCTGTGGTCAGCCATTGGAATATTTTAAGGAGAGGAGTGATATGTTCAGACTTGAAAAATGTACACAAATTTCCCTGATAGTATGTAGAAAATAAACTTGGGTTATGAGAGAAAAGGCCGTAAGATTAATTAAGAAGTTAATGCAGTAATCCAGGTAAGACATGGTAAGGGTGTAAACCATAGCAGTGACCTTGGGAATGGAGAAAGACCAGACTGGAACAGATTGGGGGGAGTGTGGACTGGCTCTGTGGTTTGGATAAGGACAGGGGAGAGTGACAGAGGGATGACTCCTAGATGCTTTTTTGGCCTGAATGACTACAAGAATAGCAGTACCATTTGTTTAATCAATAGGAAAAGAAGGCATATTAGAAATGTTAAAATTGGGGTGCCTATGAGATCCAGATAGAGCCATCTAGTAAAATACTATGGCCTGGAGCTCTAGAGAGAAATAAAAGCGGAAGACCTAGATATTATATCTATACCAATTGAAGGCAAAGAAATGGATGAGGCTGTTCAGAATGACAAGTGAAGAGGTTTCTTGACAGAATCTTTGGGAACACTGGTATTTAAGAAGGGCAATCAAAAAGTAGTGGATATATTTAGGAAAATCAGGATAAAATGGTACCACTGAAGGTTAGGCAGGAAATTTTCAAGGATAAAAAGTAATCAATACATTTAAACATACAGAAATGTCAGGTAGAATATTGATCAGAAAGTATCTTGGATTTGCCTTTACTAGGTTATCCCTGATTAACCTCTTAAAAGTGGTTTCATAGGGAGAAATGGTGGGACAGAAATGAATTTACCCTGTAAAAGGAAGAATGTAAACTACTTCTAAGCATTACTCCAGAGATTCTGCTTTAAGTTACTTCATGCATGATGTGTGTTAAATTACTTTCATCATGGTAATGGACCTAATGAAATGGGCTGGAGGTTAAAGACGACATCTCTCACCACGAATTTTGTGATACAGGTCAAGCTCTATAACCTCATGTGTAAACATAGTGTTATTATTAATAATACATACCTCAAAACAGATTAATGTAAAGTCTTAGGTACAACTTCTAATTCAATTCTAATACATGGCTTTTTTTTTTACTCTGTTTTGTAGCATATTATTCTTGGCAAAATTCTAAGTGTTGGGTCTTATTATAAGGTTTTAAAATAATTTGATTTTAATATGCATATTTCATTACTTTTTAAAAAATATCTTGCTTGGAGTGGTATTTTTTTTTTTTTTTTACTAACCTTTTCATTCAGCAAGTACAAAAAGTAGACTTTTTCCTTAAGTTTTTCTATATTAAGTGCTGACCTGACAATTTCTCTGTTACAGAACTTTGCTAGGGTTAAAATGCAGGTAACCATGTCACTGTCATCCTTGGTGGGCACATCTCAGAATTTTAATGAGGAATTCTTAAGACGTTCTCTAAAGACTATATTGACATATGCTGAAGAAGATCTGGAATTGAGGGAAACGACATTTCCTGATCAGGTCAGAAATGTGACTTTCTAGATCACTAGTTGAAATAGGATGATAAATAGGCACTTTCCAAATTGTTAATTCAAACTTTGGTTTTTACTGGAGGAATCTGTATTTTTCTTTCAATCCATAGATCATATGCCATAGATGGGGTGAATCATTTTGTTTCAATAAGCCATGCTTCCTTCTTGGAAAGCTTAATATCTTTGATATGTAATTCTGTGAATTTGTAACAAATAACAAATAGTAGACCTAGGCAGTATAAACAAATAGGAAGCTTTATGATGAAATATTATTCCCACTTATTAATGAAATAGTAATTGTTCTTAAAAGTGAAGTTTTTACAAACTACCATTGGGAGAATCAGAAACAGAGAAACCTAGGAGAGAATTTCCTTTTGTATTCTCTTCTTGTATCCTCTACATCCCTGTATTTTATTTCTACTTCTAGTTCTCTTTGTTTCCAGAGAAGAGCTGGAAACAAAACAAAACAGAAAAAAACAGCCCACTGAGGAGTTTAGTATAAAGTTTACTACCCTTCACTCACCGTACTCCAGCATATCCATATCCTTTAGAACTATATCAGTGTCATTTTATTTGTTTTGCAACCTTCAGATGTTTATCTGAAATATCTTCCAAACTAATTTAGTGATTGTGAATGAATGATAATTAAAGAATTTTTTTTAAATAAAATTCTCTGCTGCAGGTTCAAGATTTGGTTTTCAATCTCCATATGATCCTTTCTGATACTGTTAAAATGAAGGAACACCAGGAGGATCCTGAAATGTTGATTGATCTAATGTACAGGTATCATTTGTTTGATTCGTTTGTACCTTGTGTAATAGGTTTAAATTGGTAAAAGTTAAAAATAGAAGTACCCTATGATCCAGCAATGGCACAACTAGGTATTTACCCAAAGAATACAAAAATACCAATTCAAAGGGATGCATGCACCCCGATGTTTATAGCAGCATTATCTACAATAGCCAAATTATGGAAGCAGCCCAAGTATCCATCGACCAATGAATGGATAAATAAGATGTGGTATATATATAATGGAATATCATTCAGCCATCAAAAAGAATAAAATCTTGCCATTTGCAACAACATGGAGCGAGCTAGAGGGTATAATGCTAAGTGAAATAAGCCAGTCAGAGAAAGACAGATACCATATTATTTCACTCATATGTGAAATTTAAGAAACAAAACAGATGAGCAAAGGGGAAAAAGAGGAAGAGAGACAAACCAAGAAACAGACTCTTAACTATAGAGGACTGATGGTTACCAGAGGGGAGGGGGGCAAGGGAATGGATGAAATAGGTGATGAGGATTAAGGAGGGCACTTGTGTGATGAGCACCGGGTGTTGTATGGAAGTATTGAATCACTAAATTATACATTTAAAACTAATATTACACTGTATGTTAGCTAACTGGAATTTAAGTAAAAACTAAAAAAAACAAATTGGTAAAACATACAGAAAGCATTAGATAAAAAAAATAAACATACCAGAATTACTTAAGTCATTTTCTACTGGTAGATTGAAAAGTCAAAATGCACTTTTTCCATGCTACTTTTCAAAAACAGAGGACTTTTAAAAATAATTATGACACATATTTACACCTTACTATCCTGTGCCCTAGACTTCATGCAGAGGCCTAAGACCCATATTTTAAAGGTAAATATCAATCCTTTAGGAAGAAAATACAGCGTATTATTTTACCATAACATTAAGTTTCCTGATTTTAAATATGGCTGTGCCTATAATGTAATATTTCTAAGAGCACATTTTGAGAAATTTGTAATTCCTGTTATATCTTGAAAGATGCAAGTAAAACTTGAGACTTTTCTTTGGCATATGACCCTCTCTTTTTATAGTTTTGGAGTTCTTTAAAGACACAAATATTTCTTTAAAATAAATATGATGCAATGAAACTGTCTTATAAATCTTTTTTTGACTATAAAACTTCTTTATATTCCCATAATGAACACATACGTTCTCATAGCTTTCCCTTACTAATGGCATGTTTTTTGTGTGTGTGTGGTTTTTTTTGTTTTTTTTTTTTAGTCCCCCCACAAAAAAACTGCTATCAACCATGCCATGGGCCTACAGTTACTTCTTTAAGCATATTCAGAGACATTTTCATACCATTCAAACACTTGTCTTAATAGGTTGTGCTCAATGACAGAAACCTCTCTAGGTAAATACTGAACGAGCAGTCCAAACTCCTTCCAGCTTGGGAAGCAAATGCTCATTGAAAAGAATTTCTCTTCTAATTAGAATTGCCAAGGGCTACCAGACCTCTCCAGATCTGCGACTGACCTGGTTGCAGAACATGGCGGGCAAACACTCGGAACGAAGCAACCATGCCGAAGCTGCCCAGTGCCTGGTCCACTCAGCAGCACTTGTCGCTGAATATCTGAGCATGCTGGAGGACCGCAAATATCTTCCTGTAGGATGTGTAACATTTCAGGTAGGAATCTGCCAGGTTTACAGTACATCAAGGTATGTCCTTTTTAGTTTTACCTTTTCTCACTGGTGTTAAGATTTACTCAGCTTGTAAGGAAAGCATAAAGACTAAAGCTAATGCTTCACAAGATAAATTAACATTTCACTATCACTGTCTTGAATACATTGGTAAAGAGTATTTCTTGTTAATTTCTCCCCCCCCCCCTTTTTTTTTTTACCTCTCAACACCAGTGTTTATTCTCTTTGCCTATACTGCTATGGACTTCATAGCATCTATGAAACACATGTGAAATACGGAGAACCCAAATACAGTAGAAACTCTGAACTGGCTTTTACTTAAAACATCAGATAACCCAGCATTCTCCATTCTCTGTATAAAGAGGCAGATAACCGTGGCTCAGAGATGATAGTTTACTCCCTTGTAGGATCCATACCTCTGACCCACTAGTGGAATTCTTTGCTTGCCAGGAGTCAGTTATGCTTTCTTGAAAACCTGTGAATGTCAGATTTGGGAAATTACAAAACTTAGTTAAATGTTATGTCTGCTGGTGAAATCTAAATGTGGAGAGAAAGCCAGTCATTGTTTCTCTGAAAACTAAGTTAAATGTTTTGCAAAGACTTGATAAAAGTGAGTCTCCAAAACAATTGCTGTTGAATTAATTCTGGCCCAACTACAGAAGACTGGGGGGAGAGCTCCTAGAAATCTAGGATAATTGGATAACCTTCTGAGTTCAAGTTTTTCCACTAAAGAAACCAGAACTGGAAATCTTTACTGAAGGTTGCATTATGGGTATCTAGTCAAGAGAGATTGGACAAAAATCTGGAGACCTGTACACAAAGAAAAGGCCTTAGATCTACTTTGAAAAAATGTCAAATTGAGTGTATATTTGCTGTAAATGTTTAGGTAAAAATATTTAAGGTAGTATGCATTATTTCTTCTTTGGAAATAATGGCTGATCCCAATCTCGTTGGATTTTATTATATCTGAGTTTGTTCATTAACTCAATGTATGTTAGGCAAGCCAAGCCATATTGCGCCTTAATTTTCCTTGTGGGGGGTTTTGACAAAATCATTTAAGTTAAAAATAAAGACTGTTTAAGTCTCCGATGTCCTGTATCATATCACTGTTTTCCTTAGCCCGTGATTTTTCTAATTTTCTATCTCACAACTTTTATTAATGGAAAAGTTACTATAGTATTACCATTTATTGTCATCTTCAGAATACAGAAGGATCTTGGAGATTTGTCTATTATCTTTATGTTGACTACCCCCACCTTTTTTTTAATCCAAGCTTGTATTAATATTTCATCTTCAGTTACTTCCTTATATACATCTTTCATGCTAAGAAGTTAATTCCATTTCAAAAGCCGTTTTAATTTTCTCCCCCAGAATATTTCATCTAATGTTTTAGAAGAATCTGCAGTCTCCGATGATGTGGTATCTCCAGATGAAGAAGGTATCTGCTCTGGAAAGTACTTTACTGAGTCAGGACTCGTGGGATTACTGGAACAAGCAGCTGCTTCTTTCTCTATGGTAGATGACTCCTGTTCATTCTCTTTCCACAGATACATACCTCTGAATTATTCATAATATGTGTATTCTCTCTGCCTATGACCCTGCTTTACCTTATGATAGTTTTCTCCAAGCACCTTAAAAACTGTCTAGGAACAGATTTTCTCTGTAAATATATCACTGCTTAACTCCTTTTTGTCTTAATAACCTGTCATTTCCTCCAGTATTTTTCATTTGCTTATTTATGAACCATCACTTAATCTATAACGGATTTTTTTTTTGGTTTATAAAACTTTTACCACCAAACATTTTCTAAAACCTTAAAATTAAAAATCAGAACAAAAAAGAAAACCTCTGGATGATTTTAACTTCCTATTTGAGGAGACTAATGTGGCTCTAGATCTAGAGCTGGTCTGTTGGATGACAGGGAGAATCTTCTTTTGAGTGTTTTGGACGTTGCCCTGGTGCTCAGGAAAATTATGGCCCCTCATCTCTTGGTTGCATAGTGAGCCCTTTTAGGAAGGTATTAGAGACCTAGAGCTTACTTACCAGGAGCTTTATGAACTATGTCCTTGATCCTTTGCCTGTACCATGTTATAAGCCCAGTCCTTGTCCCTCCCTATCCTTATGTGAAGAATTGAAGCAGTCTTATTGATCCATGATAGGATGATTATTGGAGAAGGGAAAGAGAGCTAGCCCTGCTTACTTTCTTAAACTATGGTAATAGGGACACCTGCTTTCTCTGACATTTCTGTTGGGTATTTAGTGTCCCAGTGCCAAGGTTTAGGAGACTATGAAATTCATGTTAGGGTAAGGGGAAAGCTTAACATAATATGCAATGCTGCCCTTCTTCACCATTATACTGCTATAGGGAATTGGTTATTCTCCTGGCCTTAACCCTACCCTGCGATGTGTTGGTTAAGGGCATCTATTTAGAAGGCATACAGCCAGAATTCATATCCTGGCTCTGCTACCTTAGTAGTTCACTCACTTCGGGCACAAATTACTCAGCCTGTCAGTGCTTCGCTTTTCTCATCCATTAAATGCATCTAATAGTAGTAGGAATCGCATGGGAATGCTGTTAGGATTAAATGAGTTAATATATGTAAAGTGCTTATCATGGTGCCTGGCTCCAAGTAAGTATTAGTGTTTGGCATTACCATCCTCTTCACCATTATTCCCAGTAAGAACCAGCTTATTTAAATATAATTATTCTGAGACTCTAAGAATGTTAGGTAATTGCCATTTTAAAATTTCCTATCTGAGGACCTCAAATGTCCTGATTGCTCCTCTTGATCCCTGCTGCTTGAGTTTCATTTTAAGTGATCTGAACTAGCAGCAGTGGGGAAGTGTTTTTTCTTATTAATGGAATATTTTAATAAATACACACTCTGTGTGTGTGTGTAATTTTAATAATTCATAGTTATACAATGGCCTGTATTACAGAAGTTTTTTTGTAATAGCATGTAATTATGAAATTCACTGTTTTTCAACTAATCTGTTTAAATTTTCTTTTTAAAAAATTTTTTTTAAAGATTTTATTAATTTGAGAGAGAGAGAAAGAGTGCATGAACAGCCTGATGGGCAGAGGGAGAAGATCCTGGGACTCCGGGATCATGACCTGAGCAGAAGGCAGACACTTAACTGACTGAGCCACCCAGGCACCCCCTAATCTGTCTAATCTTAATTACAATAATTACTGGGGCATTTTAGTTACACTATATATCTTTTACTATTACAGTTACATGATTGCTTAAACTCCTGTGAACTTTTACTAGAAAATTTAAGAACCATATGTTTATTTCCTTGGCAAAATATGTTGATTTGTGAGGTAATAGAACTCAGCAGCTCTTGGAAAATCTCTCTTTCTTCCTTCATTACAGCCACCAACCCGTTATTAAGGATAAGAAAACGGAGTAACAGTACAAACACATGTTGTCCCTCACTGTGGTTGTAAGCAGAGTAGCCCTTGGCCGGCCATTGGCCTCTAGGGCAATAAAATCTGGTAGCTCAGAACCTTCTTAAATCTGGTGAAAGATCACTGATTTTTTTCCCACAGGTTATTTCCAATAAGATTTCCTGTACCAATTTAATGTTTTAGAAATGTAAATAATTTTAGCTTGCCAGGATGCCACAGGTTATCTGGTGTCTGTGACTAATGTAGTACTTGGGTTTCTTTTATTCTTCTGCTCAGGATTAATTTCTGCCACAGTTTATATTCATATGTAAGTACTCACACATACACACTGGTGAAGTAATTACTGTGTAGATATCAGAATGTTCAATTTCAATTATATAGAAATTTAAATATGCATATACGTTTTTTGTGTAAAATATACCCACACGTACATATCTATCCATCTAGAGGAGATAATGCATTGTGCAAAATTCTTTTATTAAGGCTTGATAAAATTAAAAATTAGTAGTGTTTGTTTTTATGTCCTACTGGGAAAGCTTCAGTGGTATTGCCTTAGTGGAAGTATTGTGAATTCATAAATTGTAATTCTTTACTTTCATATTGATGTAAGAGAAAACAATATCTTATAACATTATTCTTATAGGCTGGCATGTATGAGGCAGTAAATGAGGTTTACAAAGTACTTATTCCTATTCACGAAGCTAATCGGGATGCAAAGAAACTATCCACAATTCATGGTAAACTTCAAGAAGCATTCAGCAAAATTGTTCATCAGGTAATGATTGCAATTTCAGTGTAAATGGAGAAAACTGTCTGAAAGCATTAGTGTTGCTTTGTCCTGATGTCAAAGTAGATCTGATGAAATGACCATTTTAATCAGGTTACAAATGAACAATGTCAAAATGATGGTTCATGGCCAAAGCAAGATTCATTAACAAAAAATGAATTTACCTAAAGTAGATCATGATCATCATAAACTTTCTACACAGTTTTTTTTATTCACTTTTTAAAAATTAATAGTTGGCAAATTTTTAAAATTGTGAGTTCTTTTCTGTTTCAAATGTGAGTTAAAATTGTGAATCTGATTTTTAAGTTGATTTCTTTTGCTGCCAAAAAAGTTTTGTATTTGTTAGTTTTTTATTAAATGATATGAAAGTTTAATAAACTAATATTGTTAATGTTTTCACCTCAGCTTCAACTGTTTTTCCCTAGATGTTCCATTCAATCATACTTTAATATATTTCTAATATGAAAGTAATATTTAGTGAAAATAATGACTAAAACTGTTGTCTTATGCTTATTCAATTATAATAGCATGATTTTAGTACTTGTTTATAGTTCATGGAATCCACGTTATCACCAAAATTAAAATCAAAATAAGGCTTGGTTTAAAAATGAAGTAGACTCCTAGCAATTGATTTCCCTGTAACTAAATTCTTGGCTCTCTTAATATACTCTGAAATATCCTGTTGAGCCTCCTTCCCCGCTTTTCCCTTCCCTTCCCCAGACTCCCTGTGCTGTTATCTGCTACCCCTCATCCAAGAAGGACGTGGAGTACTGATGATCCACTTTTGTATTCATTACTAGTCCTGTTCTACTGTCTGTCAGCTTGACCTCCTCTTTCTCGCTGTGGACTAAGCTATTCTGGATGAATTGATATAATCTGAAAAACTTTAATAGTCTTAAAACAGGGCTGCTATTATTAAGTCAATATTTTATTGTCCTCTACTAAAACACTGAAATTGCCAGAGATTTATTATGATTCATGATGGTAACAGGTGGGTCTTATAATAATCAGTTGTGTACATGCACTGTCAGTTACATGTCAGGTCTGGAACACCTGGAGCTAGTAGTTTGCAAGAAATTTTCCTCCATTTGTATGATAGGCATTTGAGCAAAATTGCGATTTCTATTCCAGTGTACGCTGGGTAGTTCAGTGAAGCACAGCTCCCGTGAGTTAGAGGTCTAATTCAGATACATTAATGGAACACATAGCTGTCTCTTTTTCACCAAAATTTATAGTTTCTCTTTCTAAAGTTTTTAAAAGGTGGAATTTTAACTACTTAGGTTTTGAACAAGCAATTTAGGAAATTGTCACAGATCTTAAGTGAAAGAATATGGTGTTAAAAATATCCTGCTGTCTTCTGTTCGCAGAGAAGATTTTATCGTATATGGTGCCTTACACTGCTCAAGTTCCTTTGGCCTTTTTTTTTTTTCTTTTAAAACAGTTTTTTTTTTTTTTTTTTTTTATGACTTGCCCTTTTTTACTTTTTATTATACAGAGTACTGGCTGGGAGGTAGGTAATGTTTTAGTTAGTTAAAGACACTAATAGATTGATTTGATGAGATTTCTTATGCCAATGCTTTGCCCACATGTGCTAGCTGTGGGCATTCTGTTGCTATCTGCTATCAACTGAATTCATTAACCAAAGAAATTTTGTTAAAATACTCTTAAGTTATTTTAAGCAATTTATTATTAAGAGGTTGTAGGCAGTGCATGGAAATTCATATGTTGTACTAATGAGATTCTTTGGTAAATGAGCCACTTTGTCGTCACTTTAGTTTGTTTTTATCCTTTGAAGCATTTTCTTTCATCAGCATTTACACACAGATTTCTTTTTTTAACCATATTGTTTCACCTCATTTTACAGAGGTCGATTTATGTGTTATTGCTCAGAGGTGTATAGAAAATACAATATTTCATCTGATCAAAGACGCCATCAATTGTAAGACATACCATTATTTTATATGCCTTTAAGAAAGAAAAGGAAACGTATTAAATCACAACATCAGGGATATTAAAATGTGGGCCAAAAAAATGTGCGTCTCAGAATTGATGAAATAATGTGTTGATTTGATCTTGAGTCACTTCACCTTGAGTATGAGCACTACTGAGGGAAGAAATTCACTTTGTCATTTAAATTTTGTTGGTGGGAGGGATAAAGAGAGTGGGAGAACATGAAATTTACTTTGACCTCCTCTACTTGACAGTTTGATAATTTGTGTGGAAGACTACATATGCTTCCTTTTATGTAGGAGGTAGGCTTGTAAAGAGTAATGTATGAATCGAATTTTACCTGAAAAAAGCCAGAAAGATTTGATTGCTATTGTTTTAAATCTTTCTATAAAGAAAAGAGTTCTGGAAAATGTGCCTTAATTTATTTTGATGAGGTGAAGCCAGGGTATTACTAAATCAGGTTTATTTTAAGCGAGGTGTATTTGTAAAGTTGTCTGCTTTGCCTCTCACTTGGAGGTCACATTCACGTTGGCTCAACAGCTTACGCTTTCTCTGGTTTTGTACTGCGGTCCTTATTTGGGGACCCAGATAGAAAACCTCAGGAATAAATGTTACTACTGTGTTTCCTCCATTCCTGAATTAGTCCCTACTTTCTGCTTTTCTTCAGTTGAAGCCAGTACTTGCATATCTACCTTAATTCTCCAGATTCAATGTGTATGACCTCATTAATATCTAATATATAATTCCTCATTTTTGTGGCTCAGTTAGGAGATAACAGAAAGAGACTTGCCATGGTTAATCTAGGAATGGTAAAGTTCCTTATGGATTTCCTCACATGAAATGAAATTAGCTGAAAAGTAGGCATGAAAGAAGATATATTGAAACCTCTGAGCAGTTTATTACTAGTCGGCTTGATGCTAAATCGACCCCTGAAAGGTATAATTTTCACTGGTTATGACATTAATATCATTCTGTCATCATGTTTATTGCATGATAAAAGTCGTGCAGACTTTATTTTTCTGTTTATATTCTTGTCACTACCTTTCACTGGACTTTTAGCTTTGTAGCTTCTAAAATTGTTGCACGTTTGTTTTTTGCTTTTCCCTTGTAAAACTTAAATGGATGCTTGCATTTTAAAAATGTGTTTGCCACCATTTGCTGCTTATTTGTTTTGAAATTTCCCTAATTAAAATGCTTTCTGTTTTCTCTTCTCTCTTGCCCCTGGTTGCTGACCCTACTCCCTACTTTTACTATTGTCTATTGTGGTAAGTTCCTATCTTGTGAATATTTTTCTTTTTGACTCTGTGAAAACTTCAGTAATTTTGTTTTTTTTTTCTAAAAGCTGTGTTTCCTAGCTAATATCCTAGTATTCTCAGAGAACTCACTGGTTTAATATCCAGTAAGGATAACTTATCCATTGTGTAGAAAGGCTCTTTGAATGGATAACTCACTACCTGACTTACAGGAAAGCCCTTCTGGGCAGTGTGTTTCATTTTTCATTATGCTCTTTGATTTGGTACAAATAATTGGAGTTGGCAAAGCTTTTGAGGGGTGTGTGTGTGTGTGTAAAAGATAACTCTAAAACTTGACACTTAGCAATTTGATCAAGTATTTACCATGCAAAGGAACCAATCAGGAACCCGTCACAAACCATGGTGGCTGTTCCCTGCTCTTTCACTCTCAGTACCTTAATGGCTATTTAGTGTTCACCTTTATTTTCTCTTTTCCCAAGCCCATTTCTTTTTCTGGCAATAGTAGGAAATAAAGTGTGTTTTAATCATTTCTTTCTTACGATTGCATTTTAAAAAAATTTTTAGGAAAAGAGAAATACTGAATTTCTGTATGGAAATTTTTATACTGATTTCATTTTTTGCGTGTGTGTGTTTCATTTTTAAAAGAAGCATTTATCCATGTACCCAACAGTGATCAGTTTCAGAAATAGATTAATGCAAGTTTGGATTTTTCAGAATAATCAATCCCCAAACATTGGTAATAGTCATGTGACACTTTCTCCTTTCTTTTTTTTTCTTAAAAGATTACAACATATTTCTTCAAAGGGAATATCACTACCGTATTAGGTATATTTTATCGTCTCCAGAAAGGCTAGAGAAGGGCTTATTAGCTTTGTGAAGCTAAACTCTTTCTGCTGGACCGCTAAAGAAAAGTGGGGTACCCTAACTTTTGAGATCGAAACATGCAAAAGGGCTATATCTTAACTCTTGTCATTGGGCTGGATGGACATGACTATGAGACAGTTTCTGTGCTCGGAAATACTGGCCATAGTTTTGGTGCAGTGGTTTCTGTTGAATTTTTAATGCTTTAATCCATGCTAAAGCTAAGTGAGATAAATTAACTCATCTAAGCAAGTAAAGGTAGAGCAGAATTAGAAACAGCGATATGATGGAGGTGGGGGGAGTCCCTGAAGGAGGGGAATGAAAAAAGAAATTCCAAAAGCCTAGTCTTTACCTCAGGAATGTTAAGTCAGATACAAAGAAAGTTAAGGAAAACATAATAGGTGGGAAGAATCTTCTTATCTCCAGGAGGAGACAACTTTTTGGGTAGTTGGTGACTCCCTGATAATTGGTACAGACCCATGACTGAGCATCTCATGATGCAGTACCACTGATCGTGTTCTGCCCTTTATGCTACTTTTCAGAAAAAGGAAAGATTTGGACAGAAAACATGCACAGTGTAGAGGATAGTAGATGTGATTTCTTTTTCCTGGACTACGACATGGAATGGTTGAAACTGAACTTCTGAAAAGAAATGTAACAGGCTATATCTTAGAAGAATATATTCCATAGGTGAACCACCAACCTGCTTATCGTATTAGAGTAGAGAGGACAGTGTTGTAATACAGCAAAAGACAAAGCATAGGGTAGGAGGTACCCATTAATTCTCAAAAGACTTACTCAAGGAAATTCTCAAAAATTCTCAAGGAAAACATCAGAAGTGGAAGATGGTTCAGAGATCATACTTATGTCCTAATGTTTGTATATCAGTATATAGGGTATGGGAATTTATATAGCTTAATTAAGAACTTGGACTTCAGGTGTCAAATATATTGGTATTTAACTCTCAGCCCCACCACTGATTAACATGTGACCTTGGACAGGTTACTTTTCCTCATCTATAAAATGAAGCAAAAAAAAATGGTACCTATCTCATAGTTGTGATAAGAATAATTCGTGTAAAGGGGATAATAGCATCTAGCACATAGTAAGTAGTTTAAAAATGTTGGAGATTATTATTTTTATTGTTGTTACTATAACATCATCATCATCATCATCATTATTGCTACTTGAAATCTTAACACAATTTGGCTAATGAAATCTAGGAGGTGTTATGTTCCCAAGTTGACATCTACTACTAACTAAACTGATGAAAGTGTTTGTGTTCTATAAGAGGAATAGATTGAGTAGAAGAGGAGGGTGATTACTACTGTATGAAATACTGGTGTGCCTATCTGGAAATCAATAACCTTGAAGGAAGCATAGCAGAAAACAATTGGGTGTGGATAAAAGTTTTAGTAGTGATGTCATTGTAGAAAGACAAAACTAGCCCCACAGAGTGTTCTTGCATTAAAGATAACAAAACTAGAAAAGATTTGCGGTCCATTCATCATAAGACATTTCAACCATTAGAGACGTGGAGGGAGGAGTAGATGGGTTTTGCTTGTCTGCGATGTGGTCGCATCACCCAGGAGATGGTAGAATCAGTAAACAGAAGAATAAATTGGAGTGTGGGAATGATAGGAAATTCAGAGAGAATTCATGACAGTAAGGAAAGGTAATGCTAGAAAAATAGAAGCTAGGTTATAGGAAAGTAGAAAACAAGTGTCCTCTTGTGGTCTAAAACTCTGAAGAAGAAATAAGATGAAGTGACGTTTTTGCTGAGGAAGAAGCTATATGATTATGGGTTCATGAACATGATAGAGTCAGTGGTTTTACACTATAGAACTTTTTGTAAATTGAAAATAAATTTCCTCAAACTCTTAGCCTTCCTTCTGTTCCCTCCCCCATTCCAGTGCACACACATTCATTCTCAATTCCAGTAACTCCTTAGAGTTACCTCTCTGATCTACTCCATTCTGCCTCTTGCACACTCCCCTTCAATTCCCCGGCCTCCTTCGTGTTCTTCAAACATACTGGATAGGCTCTGTCCTGGGACCTGTGCACTGGCTCGCTCTTCTGCCTGCAGTGCTCTCCCCAGAGATCCACATGAATAACTCTCCCACTCCTCCACATCTTTGCTCAGATGTCACCTCTAGACCTACCCTGACCACACTCTTTGTCTCTTTTGTTCACTGATTTATCACAAATGCCTGGAACAGTTTGCTGACATATATGGTAGGCACTCAGTCAATCTGTGAATGGATGAATGGTTTCCCTCACATTCTGTTTCATGGCTTTTATCTTCTTTTTTTTTTTCTTTCTTTCTCTCTCTGCTGAAATGGTCTTTCCTTCCTTCCTACATCCAGTTAGCCGTTCTTCTGACTTGTAGAACTCTGTGTGTCACCTCTTCTGTGACCTGGGTCCAGCAGGATTAATCTTTCCTTTCTTGATTCCACTTTTTATTATTTGTATTGTAATTATTTGAGTTCCTTTACTTTCTTGAGGAACGAAATCTTCTCATTTTTATTTTCATATTACTGACGATGAACAGTGTCTAACACATTATAAGCACTCAATATTTTTTTTCCTTGAACTGAATGTCAGTATAAGAAAGTAAATAAAAAGAGCTTTAAGTGCTTAGTAACTGGGTATAAGCTGCATTAATAAAATTCAAGTTCATATGGGAGGCAGTGAGCCCACTGATCCCTGCACTGATCAGATCATATCATCAGTATTCTGTCTGTTTCTGAGATGCCACACTTTGAAAGGTGGCATTGAAAAACTAATAAAATGCAAACATGATAGTAATTCCTATCATATAAAGATGATTGGGAACTGGAAAGTTTAGCTAAAGGAAACAAGTCCTAATCTCGGTCTTCAAATATTTAAAAGGCCACAATATTAAAGATGTGGAATAGCATTTTAAGTTGGACACCTCTGAAAGGAGTTTGGCCAGAATAACAAAATTTTACTATTTGTGGTTTCTAAAAGTAGAAATGTATATGTATATATGTGTATGACATTTTTGAAACATAAAAATCACAAGGTATTAATTTTCTCAAACGCCATTTTTATTTTCCATGCAGTGCCTTCATTCCTTGATTATGTCAAAATTTGTTATTATATTGTTTAATTGGCTTATGGATGGTTTTAATCAGAATTTTGATTGAATACCTTTTTTTCTAGAGAGATTTCATTTGCTGTAGGAACTTAGTTAATTTTTATACGTGTTAAATTTTGAAATAACTGTGAAAAAAATTTTTAGATTAGAAACCTCAAGGTTTTTTTTTTTTTTTTTTTTTTTTTTTTAAGCTTCAAAGACATTTTTGTCTTCAAAACTTCATTTCTCCTGGATAGAAATGTGGGGATATTTTTAGTCACAGTACTTTTTTTTTTTTTTTTGGTGTTATGAAACTAGTAAATTAAGGATCAGAGTTTCCTGTTTTGCTTAATTATCTGTTTCATTTGTGACTTATTTTACATATCCTTTAGCCTTTCTAGTAAGAACTCAATATAGGAAAAGTAAGTGTAAGACAGATTAGGCTTAAAGAGAATTCAGAGGTTTTTAAATACTTATGTGAGACTGTGTATATAGGCACTACCACAAAATCCTTCGGAAACATCTTGGTGTTTTTTTTTAAAGATTTATTTATTTATTTGAGGGGAGGTAGGGGCAGGGGAGAGCGAGAATCTTAAGCAGGCCTAACACAGGGCTCGATCTAATGACCCTGAGATCGGGACCTGAGCCGAAACCAAGCATCAGACGCTTAACCAAAGGCACCACCCAGGCACCCCCTTCTGAAACATCCTTGTAAATAAATTGTAAGAATTGCATAGAAAGCTTCCAAATATTTTATCTTTATTGAAGGAATTTGTGCTCAAATGTGCTGTGTAAGAGTTCAGATAGTCTTAGTGTACTTTGTACTTGAATGTGTGGTTAATGTATGCAGCGGGTGGTTTGGGGATTTGAGAATAACCAACTCGTGTCACATTTTTTCTTATCTCTCATGCACTTTTCCCTTTCTGTTCCATTTTTTGTTACTCTTCCACATAGAAGTATTTTTATCGAGAGAGGGACACCCATTGTAAATTGTCTGCCTCAGGGCTTCTGCATGGTCTTGCCATTTACTGAGTCCTCTATGCCGGGTGCTATGTACTTGGCTCCTAACTTTTATGACCTCATTGATAATATGTATAAAGATGGTATGAAGGCAAATGCTAAATAAAAATGTTAATGTTATTTTTAAATTTAACTTTATTTGATATGCTATAATTTCAGAATAATTAAGACACAGTTCTTGTTATACAAAGCATCTTTTCTTTCAATAAGGAAAATGATTTATCTCACAGTATAGGGACTTAAAAACATAGACCAATGTGAGGTAGTCACTTGGTACAAACTCTGAAAAACATAAAACATATGTGATTCAGTCACTTGATAAAAGCCCTAATTGCAGAATGTTATTTGTTAGAAATACCGAAAAAGAAAGAATATTTACTTTGTTTTTACCTTCATTTGAGAAACAGTAAAATTTTGTAATTTTGAATGAAATCTTTTTGCAGTGTTTTGAGAATTTTATGCTATAGCAATGTAAACATAATGTGAAAAACAAAAAAAAACTTTGTATTGAAGTTTCTTTGTTTTCCTACGCCTAGGATGGTAAGCGGATGTTTGGCACCTATTTTCGTGTTGGTTTTTATGGAACCAAGTTCGGGGATTTGGATGAACAGGAATTTGTTTACAAGGAGCCTGCAATAACCAAACTTGCAGAGATCTCTCACAGATTGGAGGTGAATGCTGTGGTAGTTTATAAATGTCATCTTTAATTTGTATTCTCTATGATGAATTGACTTTCAGATCCAGATCGAATCATTTAATAAGCCAGATCCTGCCAAATAAACTACTCCTTTAGAAACTAAGGATTTTTTGATAGCTACAGTAATAATCTTTCAAATCCTTCAAATCTTCTATGGCAACAGTAAAATAATATAAACTTTTTTTGAGGCTCTTTTTTCACACATGTTTTATTTTATTTTATTTTTTATTTTTTTAAAGATTTTATTTATTTGACAGAGAGAGACACAGTGAAAGAGGGAACACAAGCAGGGGGAGTGGAAGAGGGAGAAGCAGGCTTCCCGCCGAGCAGGGAGCCCGATGTGGGGCTCGATCCCAGGACCCTAGGACCATAACCTGAGCCAAAGGCAGACACTTAATGACTGAGCCACCCAGGTGCCCCTTTCACACATATTTTAGAAACCACTACAACCTTCAGAATTACTGTGATTTACAGAGAAATGTATAGTATTATCTACATTTTGCAGTAAAAGGCATAAGGAGTTAAGTAGCAACTGATGATGGAACTGGAACCCCAAGAAATTTCTGACCCAAGTGCATTATCTCTTTGGCCTGATTCCCAGTGAGAATCCTTTAGAAATTAAAAGCCTGAAATCATACCCTGAAAACACTTCTTAGAACCCCTTAACCTTTAGAACTTCTTCATTTTTACCATGAATGACTAATTTTCATATTTATGAGGTTTACCAATCTTTTCTGCTATAGTTAGTCTTTCCAACGTCTCTCTATTCTTTTTTTACTCAAAATGCAGCCCATGGACCAGAAGCACTGGCCTCATCTAGGAGATTGAAATGTAGAATCTCAGACCCTACCTACTCCAGATACTCTAAATTAAAATCTCCATTTTAACAAGATCCCTGGGTCACTTGTATTCACATAAGAGTTTGAGAAGCAGTGTTCTGGGCTTGTTTTAATTCTCAGCTCCTATTAATTTCTTGAATGTTGTATTCTTATTGGTGACTTCCCTGGGCTCACCTTCCATAAATTGGCTTAAAGTGTGACTTTTTATTTTTCAAGAGCTAAGTAAGTCTTGGGAAATATTGAGACAGTATTTTCCAAATTTACTCAATCATAAGAATTATCTTTGAGGGAAGAGTAGGGGTTCTCCTTTGAAGATTCAGATGTAATTTTTCCTATGGAATAAGCTCCATCTGTTGCCCATGCTGCTCCTCCATGTTATATGGGAAAGTCACTACATTCTTGACTGGTGCCTTTTCAAAATCTAAACCAGTATGAAACTTTCAGCAGATCAACGCTTTTATTTGAAAACTCTGGAATATTAAATCATTCATAAAAATGAATGTTGGTTCATTGACACATGTCTGCAAGAAATCAGGCCACATCAATCTCAATAAAAGTAAGGTCCTAAACATCAAAGATACCTTGTTTCTTTGGTTCTGCTTTCTGTTCCCTTATTTTTCTTGAGGATCCCTTATGGAATCCTGTACTTTTATTGTAGAAAATTGTTCTTCTATTTTGTATTAAAGTGAGTAGATATAAATAATATCAAATAAATAGGCTAATATAATTTTTGTGAACCTAAATAATTATTTTGTAATTACTCAGATGGTTGTACAAGAACTCACTAAATGGCCTAATTTTGCTCAGAAGTCTCCCTCAGAGGCCTTCTCTGTTCTCCACTAATGTTAAGTTCATGTAAAAGGTTTCTTTTTCTTTTATTGTAGGGATTTTATGGAGAAAGATTTGGAGAGGATGTGGTTGAAGTAATCAAGGACTCTAATCCTGTAGACAAGTGTAAATTAGATCCTAACAAGGTATGGTGGGTGAGACCGAATGCCACACAAGTGTAGCTCTGAGACCATGATTTTGTGGGAGAAGGACTAAATGATGATTTAATAGTGAGAAAATGAAGGCCTTTTTTTTTTTTTATCCCCAGGCATATATTCAGATAACCTATGTGGAACCGTACTTTGACACATACGAGATGAAGGACAGAATCACCTATTTTGACAAAAACTATAATCTTCGCCGTTTCATGTACTGTACGCCTTTCACTTTGGACGGCCGTGCCCATGGGGAACTTCATGAACAGTTCAAACGGAAGACCATTCTGACTACTTCTCATGCCTTTCCTTATATTAAGACAAGGGTCAATGTCACTCACAAAGAGGAGGTAAGTCCACAAACGGGAATAGGATTTGTGAAACAGAGACACTGGAGCCGTGTGAGAACAGTGTGGCTGTAGGGTTACGTACCGCCCCTCACGTGACAGCATCCTAGAACTTTACCCATTTTTGAGTCATTAACTTTGGCTTCTTTTCTAAATCCCTAGTTTACCCTCAGCTTATGCTTTAAAAGGCTGGCTCCCCCCCCTCCCCAATTTAGGGATCCAAAGTTTGGAATTCTATTATTAGAAAACAGTTTTATAGTTGGTCTCCACTTTTTAAAAAAATGATTATATATCAAGCTCATTGAATAGTTTTCGATCAGTACACTGACCTACTAGATGTTATTTCACCCAGATCATCTTAACTCCAATTGAAGTTGCTATTGAAGACATGCAGAAAAAGACCCAGGAGTTGGCATTTGCAACACATCAGGATCCAGCAGACCCCAAAATGCTTCAGATGGTTCTCCAGGGGTCTGTAGGCACAACAGTGAATCAGGTTAGTGCTTTTTGCTGGTACTCTGTGATGGCAGTCGTTAAGTGGAATTGGGAAGGATTTCCTGATTATGTTTCACAAAGGCCACGAGTGTCTGATCAAGTGGAAAAAGATAGTTGGGTTAGGAGTGGTTTGCAAAAGACACGAAGTATAAATGAAAATAGACTGAAAAAAAAATCTTTTTAGTATAATCGCAGTTATTAAGGTTTTCATGCCTGCCCTCTGTACTGCCTGTATTTTTCTACCTGTCTGTTCTTAAACATTCTATTAAGAAGGAACTGATTCACTTAAAATGGCCCTTCCTTTAAAACCTCGTACTGAGGGGCACCTGGGTGGCTCAGGCATTAGGCGTCTGCCTTCGGCTCAGGTCATGATCCCAGGGTCCTGGGATTGAGCCCCGCATCGGGCTCCCTGCTCAGCGGGAAGCCTGCTTCTCCCTCTCCCACTCCCCCTGCTTGCGTTCCCTCTCTCGCTGTCTCTCTCTGTCAAAAAATAAACAAAATCTTTAAAAAACAAAAACCTCATACTGAAAGAACATGATCTAAAAAGGTCTTGTTTTCAGAACTCTCTTTGTACATGTGGATGCCTACTTCCTTAGATATTCCCTGATGTTACCTTCTCCAGACCTCCTTCCCATTGAGTCATGAGGAGGAAATATGTGGAATCACTCTGAAAATTTTAATAATATATGTACATAAGATATTGTTTGGTGCTTTGTCATGTGCAGATTAGAAGACATCCCCGTTTATCTCCTTGTAATGGGTTCATTCAGATTCTCTTGGTGATGATTAGGGAATATTCCAGGGTAAGGGAAAATCCAGAAAGGCTTCAAGTAAGAATTCATATTATATATCTTACCTATATTTTAGGTTAGAGAAGCAAAGCCAAGAAGTGCCGTACCAAAGCGAAATAAATGTTTTAACACCTTTACCCCTAAAAACATACATGATTTGGGGGTTTTACTTCCAAATGATACAACACTCACAAGGGATCGTCTTTAACTTGCAGTGTTAGAACACATTTGGAATACTGAGGGAAGCTATTTTAGCAGAATCAAGTATCTAATAACCAGTGGCTTGACAACTGTTTGCATCCAGGGTAAATTAAGGAATGTAAAAAGTACAAGGCAAAATGTATTGATAAATATAATAGTCAATCCTTGAACTCCTACTATTTTTCTTTGAAAAATACTCAGCAATTTAATTACAGTACCTAAGCATATAGATTTGGCATTAGGAGAAGCTAAAAATAATATGGCCAGAATCTGTCTGTGAGAAGGTTTTTTGGTATTTTGGTTTTGTTTTTAAAGATGGGTGTATTTATTTTAGAAAGAGAGTACACTCAAGGGTGAGGAGAGGCAGAGGGAGAGAGAGAGAGAGAGAAAATCTCAAGCAGACTCCCTGCTGAGCCCACAGCCGGACACGGGATTCTGAGATCATGACCAGAGCGGAAATCAAGAGTCAGACGTGAACTGACTGAGCCACCCAAGTGCCCTGAGAAGTTTTAATATAGACATAGACATATCTGCATTATGCTTAAATGCAGCCATCTTAGTGCTAAGAAAAAATCATTTGGGTAAATTATACCTCTGATTTTAGAGAAGACAAAAACACACTTGTTTTATTTTCTTATTTTACAGGGGCCTTTGGAAGTTGCCCAGGTTTTTCTGTCTGAAATACCCAGTGACCCAAAGCTCTTCAGACATCATAATAAACTACGACTGTGCTTCAAAGATTTTACTAAAAGGTACTCAAGGCTTCCTGTGTAAATTGAGAATGTCCAAACCACAGAATGGTGTAAGGGTCTTAAGGGACTCTTGAAAAGAGAAAATCTAGGAAGTGGCTCACAAAGAGGAACAGTTTGTGTATAACTTACTATTCCTTCAGGGTGTATACATATCCCCCCACCTCTAATACTCTATATTGCCATATTTTTAAAGATTAGAAAAGCCTAGACTCAACATTTTTTTAACATGGAACTATTATTAGACTAGTTAGCTGTTTAACCTGAGAGTTGTTATTTATTGTGAACCTTCAGTGTGAAAGTTTTTGCTTCCCTTCCCTCAGGAAACATACAAACAACAAACTTGGAAGCAGAAAATTTGTGTTCAAATCTTGTCTTTGTCATTGTGTGTCCTATTCCAGGTCATTTAATCTCTGTGATCATTTTCTAATCTATTAAATAAGGATGATAATAATAATCTACTTCCCACAGGGAGGTTGTGCAAGTTAGATGAAATAATATATGGGTGTCTCAGGGTCCCCAGGACCACCCCCAGTTTTAATGATTTGCTAGGAGGACTCATAGGACTCCGCATATAGTTGTAGTCACGGCTGTGATTGATTTCTATGGAAAGGGACAAAGTAAAAACCCTCAAAGGGAAAAGGCACTGTGCGTGAAGTCTGGGGGGATCCAGGTATAGACTCTAGAATCCTCTCTCAGGGGGTTCACACAGGCGCTCCTGACTCCTCCAGCCGTGAGCTGGGATGAGCTGGGATAGCGTGTGTGAAATGTTGTCTACCCGGAAGCTACTGAATAGAGACTCCGGGCCAAGATTGTTGTTGAGGGCTGTTCCTATAGGCCCCTTCTCCCTGGCAGGTACCAGAATTCTGAAAGCAGGTGTTCAGCATAAGCCATAACGTTTGTATAAATAGTGTAGGCACAGTGAGCCACTCTTGTCTTCTGGGAATGATTACCTCCCGAAATCCAAATTCCCAGCTGCTAACCAAGGGCCAGCCTTGGAAATAGGCCTTTGAAAAGGGTAGCAGTCTCAGGCCTGCAGTTAACTCTTTTCTGCACAGATAATACTTGGCACAAAATAAATAGGTGTTGGGCAAATATTAAATTTTGAAACAATAGGAAAAAAGTCATTTATCAACTTGAGACTGATTCCTGCTTTACCAACACTGTAAGCTTGACAGTAGAGGGAATGATTAATTTTACATGGTGATGCCAGGGAAGATTTCCCACAGAAGTCGAAATTTGATATGGACCTTGAAGGATGGATATTAGTTTTTCAGGCAGAAACGAGGAGCAGGGCATACTAAATAGAAAAGGGAAAAAAACCCAGCATGCGCAAAGTTCAGAGACTGTTCTGAGAAAAGTGAATAGTTTAATGAAGCTGGAACCATGGACTCTGTAAAGACAAGCAGTCAAATACTGGGTAAGTCGACTGGGAATGGATCGTAAGAGAGCCTTGTGTACCATTCAGTAAATGACATGATGGTCACCTAACAAAGCGGCATTAGAACCCAGTCTTTGACTCCCGTTTATGGTTTCTCTTATCAAGTCATATACTGAACCAACTTTATCAGGGGTAGAAATAATTTCACATCAGTTTTGTCATCAGAAAATTACAAGGAATGCTAACATGTTCAAGTATTTTAAGATGGAATTTCCCCCGTTCTCACTGCAATAGCTATCATGAATTCCTATCAATTTCTCCTGCCTGAACATGGTGACTGTCTTTTAAAAAGGCTTCAGAAAGCTTCATTGGAAATCTGAGATTCCAGAATCTGATTATTGTGCCAGACCACCTTCTAAGTTTGGTTTTAGGAGACAACAGGAAACATAGCTTCTAGTGTATGGAGTGGATGAACTGTGGTAGTAAAATAAAGAAATCTACTTTATACTTGTAGCATTGACTGATTCCTAGCATTAATTTTATTATTAGGGAAGTTTCGGATAACAACCAAAAACACCCTGCTATCTTTGTGTGCCAGATGATCTTGGAACAACACATACTTCTTTAGGTCATAGACATTTAAGTATAGACAGTTACTTCTTTCCCTGCTGTTGTTTTGACTACATTTTAAGTCACATGTCCTCCTCCTTGTGTATATTGATGATAAGGTGATCAATTTCTGTAGTCTGCTGGTCTCTAAGTATTACCACCAACTGTAGAGAAGGTTTTCTTAAATGACAAAAAGAAAAAAAAAAAAACCCCACTCCATAACATAAACCTTATCAAGAAAGTTACAGCCTTTTTTATTATTTATTATTTTGTTGGTCATGCTATCTTTTTTATTTTTGTGTTACCTTTTTTTATATCAGTATGCATATATATTTATAAAACTCACAGTATACCTATAATCTTTTTATTTTTCAATTAAAGCTAAAGCTTTCTAATGATTATATTATTTCATTAAATATTTGAATTTAAGTTTGTTGGGTTTTTTTTAAAGATTTTATTTATTTATTTGACAGAGAGAGACACAGTGAGAGAGGGAACACAAGCAGGGGTG